AAAAGGCATAGCTTTCGAATGGTACAATGGATTTCTGATAATCGTAAGCATGAATCAAAAAAAGGTCGATATATAGTATACAGACAGGCCAGCGAGTGGGGGAAATTTGTAATTATAAGAAAGATATGTTTACTCACTTTACGCGTCTTTATGCGTTGATGTTTTGAGCAATCGTAACCTCTCAAACTATATAATACTCATACTAAACTATAGTGAATCTCTATAAATATTTACAAATCAGTGTAATCATATAATAAGCATGGTAAAAAACGGTTACGTATGACATTTATATGACAGCACAACCCAACGTAGAACCCCTGGAACATAATAGTAATATGGTGTAAATAAGAAAAAGTTATTGTAACAGCATGTACGAATGGGTTGCACTTCTCATTTCAAAGCCTCTTGATAAAACAATGCAGTCGTAACCACAGGCACTTGAAGCGTTTCAACTGTAAACACACGCCACCGCCATTGCGCGCACACTGACACATAAATATATCCTGGTTGTGCTCTGTTTTAGTACCGGTTTCGGTTTCACAATACCAGCAGCCGGATGAGATGAGGAAATCGATTTTTCTCTCTGTGGCAGCACTGTACAGTCAGTGCTGATAATGTGTGAAGATTGACGAATTGAGGGGTTTTTCACGGATTTTTTGGTGAGTTTGACGGTTTGGCAGGTTTTTTTCAGCTACGAACACTCCCCGGGTATAAGAGATGGCCCTGTGAAAATTGCATCCAGATCGCTTGGGCGGTTTGGCCGCCTATAGGGAAGATACATACATACATAGATACATACGAACTCAAATATATATTAGATGCCTCTTTATTCGCTAAAATTTTCCATTTTAACACACAACTTGATTTTTCCAGTTTTCTCGGCAAATATGAAAATTAAAGAAAAATCCTGACGCACTATTTTGGTCCATATTGTGCTTAACATGTGGCAAAAATATTGTATTCTCACTCTTTCTGGTAGTTGAGAAATATCCAAAATACCATTTTTACATAAAAATTCAAAATTTGTGTGGTAACATAATTAGGTGCTGGAAATTTCATAAAATTGTTTGTCTTGAGCATAGAGATATATCTCCTCTATAAATAAAACAAGCGATTGATTCGATTCATTCGCCAATAAACGTTTAATCTTCACTAGAGTAATACCCGTGCACAACGTGGAGAGTATCCTTAAGCCTAGGACACACTAGCAATTCTGTACGCTGCCCGGCAGCGTATATGCTCGCTCACAATTTTAGAACGCCGTGCGAGTTGCGCGTACAGCTGGACACACTGTACGGTGTCCAACCACTCTAAACGGCTTTCCTAGCTTTCGTTGCTACACTTGATTGGCTGCTAAAAACAATCGCGTTCGAGCGTTCGCTGTACGCAAGCGATGAAAAACCGCGCGGAAATATTCAACATGTTGAATGCGAGCGATCAGCCGGGCGTATGGGATCGCGTGCGAAATACGCTGCCGTGAGACCGGACACACCGCGCGGACCCGGCACCGTATTCCATCGTATTACATCGATCGCAAGCGGCCAACGTAGAAAATCGCACAGTGTGTCCTAGGCTTTAAGGACACTAGCTCCTAGTCGAACATTGTTTGTGTTACAACACACGTCACGACAGTAAGATATGCCTTAACACGTTTTAAATATTGTAATAAGATTGACAGTGATGATTAAAAATACAAATGAGTATGAGATTGCCACCTAATCTTCCATAATACTGGCCATCGTGTAGGCTAGTTTCATAACCTTGTAGCTGGATGCTTGGATAGTGGAGACTGGGTTCATCCCATAGTGGAACAACAATCTTGTGAATGTTCTCCATATATGATGCTAGCTGAATGCCTAAAATAGAACAGCACATCAGCTTAATGTAAAGCTATCACGTACACCACTGCATTCCATTATTCATATATAACACACATAAATCTTACAAAAGCATCAACTATATTTTTATAAGCATATAGCACTTGCACATTTTCCTAGACTTCCCCACCCACTCGCTCACTCACGCTTGTTTGCACTGCCTGTGTATACTGTTACTGTGGAAAGGACTGGTGCTTTGCACCGAGCTACAGGACATTGGGAAAAATGGCTGGCCGATAACAACGAGCTAACTGATGCTTGCAAGCGTGAGAGCACATGTATGGTAAGTGATTTGCAAAAGCTAGATAAGAAAACCGTATTCCTCGACCCAGTAAATGAAGTTACCATTTTGGATAAAACAACTGACTACACAATCCATTCTCCTGTGGGAGGGGGGCACAGCCTACACGTTAAATGTCATCATGTTCATCGGACTGTCCAGGTATAGTGTTGGAGTTACCTGCTTGACAAACTGTGGCACAATGAAAGCTGCACGATGTACGTCGTGATTGTAATACTTCAAGTCCATCTGCTTCACCTCATCCTCGCTCAGCTTCCGCACAGGATCTCTAAAGCTGATATCCTGCCAAATAATGAAAAACACTTGACAAATCGAAATAGCCCACATGCAAGGCAAAAGTGTACAGATCTCATCGTGTTTTTTTCCAGCAATAACGCAACCCACTTGTTTTGTAGTAAAAATGGACATAAACAAGTAGCCACATCTGCTTCAAAACCCCATTTCTAGTGAGTCTACAGCCACCCAATTTGAAGCACTGCAGAGTGGTATTTTGACTACTGGTCTTCAGCCAGTCATTAATTCACTGTTTACATCAACCAATTCCATTCTAATATTTAACACACTGCACATGAGTGTACATTCTAATCTCTAGACTATAGTGGTGCCACATACTGGACTCTTGCTGCATAGAATTGCTCCAATCTGACCACAAGTGTAGCTTGGGACAGACATGGTTGCATAATCCACCACTGGGAATAACTCTCTGCAGAACTTATTCATCTTTGTTATCAATTCAAGATCAATCCAAATACATTCTCCTGCAGGTAAAAAAAATCGTATTGTTATTGCATAAAATGACATGTGAGGTCTATTGACTATATGAACTATATGAGACTTGTGAACTATATGACAGGCATATAGTTGTATTGGCAGTTTTTTGTTGTTGCAGCACTAATAGTTCAGTTATCACATCATGACATTTTAATATCCTACTTTTGTTAAACAATTATGGTTCTTGTCAAATAATATGCGTACAAACACTTTTTGAATTGGGATACCTTTGCCACCTTTGTACAATATAAATCGCATGCCGAGCTTACCACAATCTTGTCGATTTTTTAAACTGAATGTGAAATTCCAATGTTTAAACTAATTTACACAAATTTCGATGCATGACCACTAAATTATACAGAGAGGCAGTGTAATACATACAGGTTCCTTACCTTGTGAGCAGAGTACACCGTCAGGTTTTAAAGCTCCGCTGATCAAGGTGTAGTACTCCTTCTGGAATAGGCTCTGTGCAGGACCTTGTAACATTTAACGACTAACATAATGAGCCTATATAACACTCTTGCAGTTTGGTTTATTCATACCTACTACGTACGTTGTAAAGTAAATGAACAGAAAGATGTATGATAACAAAAAACATTTGATTACCAACAGGGTCTGAGGAATCGGTGATGATGACATCAAACTCCCCCTGGTGTTGTTTCATGAATTCAAACCCATCACCGATATGCAGATTTAACTTGGGGCTCTCGAAGCCTTTTGCCATTTGGGGGAGAAATTGCTTAGCAACTTTAACCACCATCTGCAAAACGGGAGCAAATTATCAATGCCAGAAACAGATCCATACACATTACACAACTGATTCACGTTTCTTTTTAGTTTTTCAGCAGTATTTACACACTTATTATTCATTCTATATGGACACTCCTAATTGTCCCCACTTATATACCCATAGTGCATAATACAGGGGCGTAGCCAGGGGTGATTCCAGGCATTCCGGAATCCCCCTGGTTTGTATCAAAATAGCACATCTGATACGGTATGTATATAAAAGCATGAAACGAAAATTTCAACGAAGTTTTATTAGTATATATAGTAGGTTTGGATTCCCCCCTCTTGGAAGGAATCCCCCTCTTGGAAAGGCTGGCTACGCCCCTGTAATAGTGCCTATATACTAAACTAGGCTGATATCAAACTGCATGCAGTGCCCCTTCGTACACTCAGGATACCACTGCCACAATCCTAGGATTCTTTTTAAAGTGGGCGGAGCTCCAGGGAAATCCATCGAATGTAGATTCGTAAACAGCGTACGATTTGAAAGAGGTAACTGGGCGCACAATCCGCATACTATTTCGTATCACTATTTTATCAAAATTTTCATGAAATAACGGTCGGATTTTTAATATCTTTGCAACTTTTATTAGTCCAAATCTTATTACATAGGATACGAGTAACGTCGCTGCTGTAAAACTTGTAGTGAAAAAGTGTTACAAATTGTAACGGAAATCTACTTGTGGCAGTGGTGGCAGTGGCGAGAGCGCCATCTGTTGTGGAGTTTGGGCTGATATATGCCAATAGTAGATAATATCGCTGCTGATGGAGACACAATGAATGATAATTTTTTTGTTGAACTGAATCAAAATTGGACTTTGTTCAAATGCACTTTTACCGGTCCTGTATGGCATATGTTCCCTAGTAGGGCTGAGAGGGTCTATGTCCCCCAGGGTACGTACCCTGGTACTATCTAATATGCCGGACCGTACCTCGCCTACTCCACTAACGAGTCTAGGGAGTCGCCTACGCCTACTCCCTAACCCTAACCATATCAGATAGTTACCAGGGTACGTTCCAGTATACCGGACCGTACCCAAGGTACGTTCCGGCAGTACCCTGGGGGACATAGACCCTATTAGCCCTAGTAGGTCATGAAGGAGTGTTGCCGTATAATATCCGGTGAATTCTTTGGCAGAAATTCGTAGCAGTACTACAGCAAGTTGAGCAGTCAATTTTAGTTCTAAGCAGTCAATGATAACATTTAAATTGCCTCACCTCATCAATTTCACATATTGTGGCAGTTTCTACAGCTGTGTGTTTTACAACTTCTCTTGCAACGCCCCCATCGCCACCACCAATGATCAGTACCTGCATATAAACTTTAGGTTAGTTATCTTAAAGAGTACAGTTTATATGTGCTGATGTGCCAGCAGAGACAAATAATGGACTACCTTCATTTTTTCATTTTTCTTTGATACAGTTCAGTCTGTAATACAAAGCACAGTAAAATAAACCTTGAAACGCGTTGTACGGTTATATCACTCGTAATTGCAAGCGTACTCTACTACTACCACTAACGCTCATAGGGTCTATGTCCACCAGGGTACTGCCGGAACGTAACCTGGGTACGGTCCGGTATACCGGAACGTACCCTGGTAAATATCTAATATGGTTAGGGTTAGGGTTAGGGAGTAGTCGTAGGCGACTCCCTAGACTCGTTAGTGGAGTAGGCGAGGTACGGTCCGGCATATTAGATAGTACCAGGGTACGCGTACGCTCCGGTATACCGGACCGTACCCATGGTACGTTCCGGCAGTACCCTGGGGGACATAGACCCTCTCAGCACCACTAACTGTAATTGTTTTATCATCGATATAACGTTGTAGAGGGATAGAATGGCACCCACCTGTTTAGGGTTTGGATGTGAGCAGAGGGCTAAGTGTGTCAGCATCTCCTGGTAAGAGAACTCATCTCTCTGTGTGCACTGTATTGCACCATCTAACACCAGAACTACTCCATATGAAACACTGCAAAAAAAATCAGCAGCAAAAATAATTGTATGATCACACCAGTTTCAGCTTTGATTTTAAGATTAGTTTTCAAAGTCCAAGTGACTGTATCGAAGATGGAGAAAGACAAAGTTGATCAAATAGACAGATCAACACTGCATATCACAGTGTTGATCAAGCTTTTAGTTTGCAATTAACCGAAGAGGAAGGAGGAGAATTGAGGAGGAGAGCCTCATGGTGATAAAACTACATTGTTAACTATATGTGCATGTGTTGTGGCAAAACTGATAAATGTGGTGTTGCAGCTGTCTGGGTTGATCACCCGAAACCACCAATAAAACATGATCAGTCCTTATCACAGGCACGTCATAACAGTCTGCAACGACAGGGTTGGGGTTAGGATAGAATTGGAAGTGATGAAGATGACCTAAGCAGTTCCTTGGAACAATGTGCAGTTAGTACCGACATTGTCTGTATAGAAATTATATGCCAGCTTACATGAAAACTATAAAATAAATGATATATTATACAATATACACTGCACAGAAAAAAGGCAAGACATGTAAAGCCACAGTGAGATCTCGTTTGACGTGAACAATGGTAGTCGTCCTAGAAAATTAGCCCAACCATAGCCCAACCTAGAGCCCATTCACTGATTCAGTACAAGGAAGCCACTCACTGAGCTGGCGTGGAGTAGTTTTGACTCAGCACGTCGTACCAATACATTCGTCTATACAAAGATACGATACGTGAACCACTTATCGTGGAGTAATCATTCTGATACTGATAGTCAGAATGATTACTCCAAGCAGTGAAGCACTTATTCAGCCCGTCTACTATCCAGATGAGACGGGATACTAGACAACCGTTGCCGAAAGGAGGTGTTGATCCGAAGCGCTGCAAACAGATCTTGCGCGCAGTTCCGCGGCAAGGCGCACGCGACCGCGGGAACGTCCTACGACAGTATGCAGCGCTGGCAGCTATGGATCCGTGCTGCGATATGCATAGGCCGGCGCACGCATCATAACCTGCCATCACCATCTGAATAATTTTTACGGCGGATACAATGAAACGCCCACGCGCGCTTAGCTGCCTGGTTCTTTGCAAGTTCAATGAAAATATCAATAAAAGTGTCAAGACACTTCTACTTCTACACTGCTGTTGTATAATGTTTTTTATGAATTGTATTTTATTATGGTGTCACCGGCTTCAGTAACGAGCGGCAGCTGCAGCGGATACAAAGCCTGGGTTTTATAATGAATTTACATCGGAAATAATACGCCTCTATTCATGTAAATATAAATTGCTTCACCATATACAAACAATGTGACGTTAAATAATCACAATATTGTCAATAGGGCTGAATAGCTTCCTAGTATGATCTTCAATTGTGCAAGATTAGATGACAACTTATCTTACGCCATGACTTGTGGCAAGGACTAATCAAAATAATTTTGTTGAGGGAGACGGATTTTTTGACTTCTCAAAATAATTGTTCCTAATGAACATTTTAAAGACAACTGACGCACGCCACTCAGCGCACGCGCCACACACACTATACAAATAGACACTACATGCCCTCATAGAATGTATGTCGCGGCCTGCGGGCTTCCCGTATGTACCGCGTGCGTCGGTGTGTGCATGGGCGTCTGCTGTTCATACGAGTATACGCACGTGTGTGCCGGTATTTGTAGTGCTTTCGTACATTACAGCCTAGGCATATATGTGTTGCGTGCTTGGCATGCCTTGTATAAGTAGGGTACGGGGCGTGCGGGGGGCTGTCTGTGCGACGTGCGTTCGTGCTAACGTATTGTAATCTCCAGGGTAGACGAATTTTTGCTGCACGTCGCCCCAATCTGAATCATGCAAAAATTGCGTATCGGTCTTGGCCCAGTTTGGCTTGGAAGTAAGAACTACAGTTGCCGCATTAGCGACAGCGCCTCATCTACGTCTTGCGGGTGACTCTGTGGTGGAGTGGCTGGATTCTTAGTAAACCCTGTTGCTCCCAAATGTGTTCCATACATGTCGAAAACAGTGGACATGACAGGAATGTATCAGGAACTTTCTCAAAAATATGTTCGTTGGGGATCGCTTATGAAAGTTTGCACGAGATGGCGCGCTACAGTTTAAGTGGTCTTCAGATTAACGAGGAAGCTCCATCATTACGTAGCAGCAACAACTATCATGCAAGACAGATAGGTAACCACTCATCCATTTACCTACGCAAAGCCTACAGGTCGCGCAATAGAAGAGCTTGCCACTCCTTGGACCCATTAAGGCAAAAACTCCACCAGTTACCACAACACTGGCCGAGTGGCATTACCGTTACATGTAAACATACTGGACAATCACAGAATTGCCATATAAATTAGCTTATACGATTTATAGGCATGCACTAAACCTTCTTCAACTAAATTAGCTTTGAAAATCTTCACTGCTGACTTGTTAGCCTCATAATCCAGGCATGTATAGATCTCTACTAGCCAAACCCAGCAGTTCAAATTCTTTCTTAACAGACAGTAACAAATCACATGTTAACCCTCCTCTGAGGTCAAAAGGTTATCACACTTACTTCTTCGCATATTCAGCAGAAGCGTAAATTTCATGTGGTCCTTTCAATAAAGCCATCTAAATGCTTAGGTCTATCGCTGAAACAAAAAAGTTTTTTTCAATCGCTCCGTCAGACATGTCACTCAGGAAATGTCTAAAATTCTGCCCTGTTGCCATTGACCTTTGACTCTGTGACCTCCAATTTCGCACTAGTGATGGGCTTTTCCTACCAGGATGCTATAACCGACTATCACGCAGCCTAGGTCGAGCCGTTTAGATTTGTGCCGCAATTCTGCATTTCCTTCCCTATACCTTTAGTTAAGGCGTGAATGTTCCCCCTTCTTTTTACACCTCTTGACCTTTGACCTTTGACCCCAGCTTCGACATCCCAACTCGTTTTTGACGACCCCCCAATGTGCGAATATTCGTGCGTACGTCGAGCGGTTAAGATTTGTGCCCAACTGTTGACGGACACGACGGAACGGACGCCCGGACGGGACGGACGGACGGACGCCGGACGGACGGACGCCGGACGGACGGACGGTACGGACGCCCGGACGGCCCACGGACGGACGGACGATCATGCGATCTACAAGCTGCCATCTGACTATGTCAGATGAGCTAAAACGCGACGCTTTGACTAAAGAAATTTTTCATTGTAAACGCACGCCGCTGTGTATTATGATCGCATGTATGTAGGCTGTGGTACTTTTCGCATTTACCAGACAGATGGATTTGCGGAGCCTGGACATAATTTCACCATTGAATAAATTGTCTATTGATCATGCGCTGTAGCATATATTGCTAGAATTTAGAGTATCTACAATTTTATGTTGGAGCACAATGGAAAGAAGTGTGTTAGCCATGCTTTTCATTGGTTTCATCGTGCAGAATTTCGCAGCTGTTAATACCACTCATTGCACTGCACCCATTTCGATCACTCGGTACCCGCGACGGTCTCGTGCGCGCAATGCGATTTTCATCACTCGCGTTACCCGGACAGTCGTGGTCGCAATGCCCATTTTGCATCACTCGGTACCACCGGCCGTCGGTATATAATACTGTTCCTATAATATATCAATTCGACACTATACTATTATTGCCTTGTAACAAATGTTAACAAATCTCTTCATCTTCAACGCGCACATGGCACTGTCAAGAACAACATTATGTAACAACTAGACGATGACTAGGCCTATTTCAATGTTGTCTCACCGATGGAATTCCTCTCACATGGAACAACCTTACACTTGGGTATGCACTACAACATGCGTGGCATGATATATCGATGATGCAACATCGATGGCCTATGTATGAAATGCGAAACTACATGCTCGACTATTACGTCGATCATCGGAAACATCAGACCATCGGGGGCGGTACTAAGATGCATCGGCTGGACTGCTGCTCTGGCAGCACATACGCTGCTGCTGCTGGCGCCACGCGCGGCGGGGAGCTTTTCCAGATACGCATCTAGTGGGAAATTCTCAGTGTAAACAAACATCAATCAACGGGCTTAGCAATCTACGTCGGGTGGTTACTAAGATGGCTACCGCGTAATTTTGAATCGCACGTCACGATTGCACTAGACTGGTACGGACCTTAACTCGGCCAGTATCTTTCGCTACACTAAAGTTATAGCTAGTGCGCGTGTGGAACTCTCGACCGCGGAGCAGTCTAAGCTGAATCCCGATCCTTGTGTGGAAAATACCTTGAAAACCCTCGAAGAGCGGCTCCTCGTCTCGCCATCTATGGACGCCATATGTACGATAAATAACATTCATGGGCGTGAAACGGAAGAAATGCCAAACTCGCTTTCTAGAGGAAAAGCAAACGCGCCGACCAGCAAACGAGGCAATTACGAGCACTTGTATTTATTCTCGACCTACGTGCATAGTCGAAAGGCTTGTGGACTCGGCCACAACTCCTCAATTGACCCGATTATACGGCTTTATCCTATACCCATAGGGCACTGCCGAAATTTTTTCTAAATAGGCGCAGCCGAATAAAAATTTATTGTCACCGCTGCGCAGCGTTGCTGCCGCTTCGCGCAGATATCCGTGGCTGCAGATCGTCCAGCAGAGTACCGCGTATTACAACAAGTGCCGCGAGCGACAGCCGCTCATCTAACGTCTACTGCGGTGACTCTGTGGTGAGTGGTGGGATTCATAGTAAACCCTGTTAGTCCAAATGTGCTTCACATACACGCCGAACATTGGAATGCACAGGATGGTATCAGGAACCTTCTCAAAGGAATGTTCTTGGATCGTTTTATGAAAGTTGCCACGAGATGGCGTGTTCGTTTAAGTGTCTTCAGATTAAAGATGGAAAGCTCCCATCGTACGTAGTAGCAACAACTATTTTGCAAGACAGAATAGGTATAAGCACTCATCTCATTTACCTACGGAGCCTACAGGCTGCATAGAGAGCTGCCACCTGTCAACATTAACGCAGGCAAAAACTACACAAGTACACCACCACATGCA